TTTAAAAAAAGAAAAAAAGACTACTCTGTTACGGGAAAAAGCAAATAGCAACCCACGGTAATCATGAATTTCATGAGAAAATAATTAAATGATTAAGGAAAAATAAATTGGCGACTGGGAAGATAAAAACGAACATTCAAAGGAATTAACCAAACCAGAAAGTTAGCTTATTTGAAATGACTGATAAAACTGGCAAACCTTCCAATTATAGCTAGACCCACTGACCAGGATAATAAGAGAGAAAGATTTGTATCAACTAAACCAAGAATAAACAAGAGGGACTATGGCTGAGCCGCTGTGGTGGCTCATGCCCTGTAATCCAGAACTTGCCGGAGGCCCGAGGTGGGTGGATCGTGAGGTCCAGGACGATTGAGACCATCCTGGCCAGTATGGTGAAAAACGGCGGCCGCTCTACTACAAATACAAAAAATTAGCTGGGCGTGGTGGTGCATGGCTCGTAACTCAGCCTACTCGGGAGGCTAAGGCAGGAGAATCCCTTGCAACCAGGGAGTCGGAGAGGTTGCAGTAAGCGAGATCGTGCTACTGCCAGCTCCAGGGCCTGGTGGGACAGAAGCGAGAACTCCACCTCAAAAAAAAAAAAAAAAAAAAAAAAGAAGGCATTTACATCTTACCTTAGGAAACAGAAAAATGGATAGACTGGGAATATATGTGACACTATGGTATGGGCAAACTTTTAGATAACCTCAGATGAAATGGATTGACAGCAAATACGATAGAAAGACACCAGACTATCAAAAGCTGAACTGGAAGACACGAACTAGAACATTCAGATATACCACCATAACCAATTAATCAGAATCTATAAAACTTATCACAAAAGTAACAGCGGTAGACCGCAGATAGGTTGCAGTGAGCCAAGATTGCACCACTGCACTCCAGCCTGGGCAACAGAGCAAGACTCCATCTCAAAAAAATAAAAAATAAAAATAAATTGGCAAAATCCTCTGAGATGTGAGGACTTGAAAAGAAAAAAGAAAAAAGAAAAAGAAAAAAAAATGGCAAAAGATCTGAACAGATACCTCACCAAAGAAGACACACAAATGACAAATAAGCTTATGAAAAGGTGTTCAGCATCCTATTTCTTTAGGGAACTGCAAATTAAAACAATAAGTTATCACTACGAACCTATTAGAATGGTGAAAATCCAAAACGCTGGCAACAGCAAATGCTGGCTAGGAGATGGAGCAACAGAAACTCCCATTCATTGCTGGTGAGAATGCAAAACGGTATATCCACTTTGGAAGACAGTTTGGCAGTTTCTTACATAAGTAAACATACTCTTAACATACATTCCAGCAATCATGTTCCTTGGTATTTACCCAAATAAGGTGAAAACATGTCAACACAAAAACCAGCACACACATTTTATAGCCGCTTTATTAATAACTGCCACAACTTGGAAGCAACCAAGATGTTCTTTAGATGAGATGGAGCACGTTCAGGGTGGTATGGCTGTAGACCAAGATGTTCTTTAGTAGGTGAGTAGGTAAATAAACTTTGGTACATCCAGGCAACAAATTATTATTCAGCACTAAAAACAAATGAGCTAATAAGCCATGAAAAGACATGAAGGAAACTTGCATATTACTAAGTGAAAGAAGCCAGTCTGGAAAGGCTACATATTTTCTGATTCCGACCATATGACTTGTTGAACAAGGTGAAACTATGGAAACAGCAAAAACATCAGTGGTTGCCAGCGGTTGGTGCAAGGGGAAGAGGAGGTAGAGCATGGGCATTTTTAGGGCAGTGAAACCATTCCATATGACACTATAATGGTGGATACATGCCATTAGATTTGTGCTAAAACCCACAGAACGTATGACACCAACAATGAAACTTAAGGTAAACTATGGAACTTGGATGATAATGAAGTGTCAATGTTGGTTCATCAATTCTAGTAAATCTGCCACTCCAGTGCAGGATATGGATGGCGTGGAGTGCTATGCACGTGTGGGAACTCTGTACTTTCGGCTCTATTTTCTATGAACTTAAAACTGTTCTAAAATATCAAGTGTGTTTTTTAAGAAAGGGATTAGACACAATGAGTAGGTAGGAGTTACCCCACAAACGCAAACCGGGTTCAACATAAGAAAACCAATCAATGTAGTACACTATATTAATAAAGGACAAACTCTATATGATAATCTCAAAAGACACAAAAAACTGACAAACCCAAAACCTTTTCAGGACACAAAATATTCAACAGAGTAAGAATATTTCTCAACCTAATAAAGTCATCTACAAAAATCCCACAACTAACATCTTACTTAATGATAAAAAGCTGAAAGTGGCCGGGTGCAGTGACTCATGCCTGTAATCCCTACACTTTGGGAGGCTGAGGTGGGAGGGTCACTTAAGCCCAGGAGTTCAAGACCAGCCTGAATAACATAGCAAGACATTGTCTCTACAAATAACAATTTCTTTTTTTTAGACAGATTCTAGCTTTATCATCCAGGCTGGAGGGCAATGGCACAATCTTGGCTCACTGCAACCTCTGCCTCCCGAGTTTAAGTGATTCTCCTGCCTCAGCCTCCTGAATACCTGGGATTACAGATGCCCGCTACAACGTCCAGCTAATTTTTGTATTTTTAGTAGAGACAGGGTTTCACTGTGTTGGCCAGGCTGGTCTTGAACTCCTGACCAAGTGATCCACCCGCCTCGGCCTCCCAAAGTGCTGGGATTACAAGCGTAAGCCACCGTGCCTGATCTTACAAATAATAATTTTTTAAAACTAGTCATGGTGGTGTGCACCTGCAGTCCCAGTTACTTGGGAGGCTGAGGTGGGAGAATCACTTGGGTCCAGGCAGTTGAGGCTGCAGTGAGCCATGATCATACCACTGTACTCCAGCCTGGGTGACAGAGAGAGATCCTGTCTAAAAAAAAAAAAAAAAAAAAAGCTGAAAATCTTCCTGTTAATATAAGGAACAAAACAAAAATGTCTGCTTTTTCCATTTCTATTCCACATTGTACTGAAAATTTTCGTCAGGACAGTCAGACAAAAAGAAGAAATAAAAGGCATACAGATTAGAAAGAAGGAATAAAACTATCTCCATTTGCAGATAATGCGAATTCGCATGTAGAAAGCAGGAATTCACATGAAAATTGTTAAAGCTAACAAATGAGTCTGGCAATGTGGGAGAATACAAGATCAATATATGAAAATCAATTATATTTATACACACTAATAGTGAACAATCTGAAAATAAAATTAAGACAATAATTCCATTTACAATAGCCTAAAAAGAATACATTTTTAGGAATAAACTTAAAAATAAGAACAACTTGTTGAGATAGTTTTGATATTTGTCTTCCCAAATCTCATATTGAAATGTGACTGCTAATGTTGGTGGTGGGGCCTGGTGTGAGGTGTTTGGGCCATGGTGGCAGATCCCTCATTAATGGCTTGGTGCATTCCCCCACATTAATGAGTGAGCTCTAGTGCCATTAGTTGGAGCCAGATCTGGTTGTTAAAGAGTCTGGGATCTCCCCCTCTCTCTCATACTCCCTCTCTCCCATATGATATGCCAGCTTCCCTTGCCTTCTACCATGAATAAAAGTTTCCTGAGGCCCTCAACAGAAGCTCAGCCCATGCTGATGCCATGTTTCTTGTACAGTCTGCAGAACCGTGTACCAAATAAACTTATTTTCTTTATAAATTACTCAGCCTCAGCCAGGTGCTGTGGCCTATAATCTGAGCGCTTTGGCAAGATGAGGTGGGTAGATCACTTGAGGTCAGGAGTTCAAGACCAGCCTGGCCAACACAGTGAAACCCTGTCTCTACTTAAATACCAAAAAGTTATCCGGGTGTGATGCACATGCCTGTAATCTCAGTTACTCAGGTGCCTGAGTCACAAGAATCACTTGAACTCGGGCTGGTCTTGAACTCCTGACCTCACGATCTGCCCCCCTCAGCCTCCCAAAGTGCTGGGATTACAGGCATGAGCCTCCATGCCCGGCCTTCAGAGTACGCCCTTTTAAAAACCTGTGGGTACACGTAGCCAACTGACATTTTAAGACAAGAGGCCCAACAGACCCTCTTTCCACAACGCAGCTCGGGACCTGTCTGTCTTCATCATTCTGCCTGGGTCGCAGAGCCACAAATCAGCACCTCCGCGTAGTCGAAGCCGGAACCTCTACTTACAGGTGCGGAGCTTCCGGCCTGCGCGGGGAAGGAGCCCGCCCTTCCCGGCTGAGTCCTTCGGCAGCAGCTAGTCACGTGACGCAGAGGCGGGGCAGATAGGAGGTGCCAGCCGCCATTGCTCCGTGGGCCCTGCTGCGGGCACGGTCTCCGCATATGGGTTTTTTTATGCGGGGTTAAGCTTGCTGCCGCGTGACAGCGGAGGGCTAGGAAAAGGCGCAGTGGAGTCCGGAGCGGTCCCCCATGACTCGACGCAGCTTCCGTTCTCCTGGGGACGTGTCCCACAGGACCCGCCCCGGTGGTCAGCTACCGCGCTGTTGCTAGGCAACAGCGTGCGCGCTCAGAGCGGCGTGGGGCGGAGAAGTGGGATTTGGAAACTTAGGGTCACAGGGGCCCAGGCCCACCAACTGCACCGGGATGGACCAGTACTGCATCCTGGGCCGCATCGGGGAGGGCGCCCACGGCATCGTCTTCAAGGCCAAGCACGTGGAGGTGAGGCCGGACCACGGCAGGCAGCCTGGCAGGGGTGTCCCCCACCACCCTCCGGCTAACGCTCTAAGCTGTTTCGGTTCCCTTTTTACATCCAGTACAGTTTTAAAACTATTTTCTAAACCTGTTTTGGGCCGTTGCGCTTCCCTCCGCACATCTGGCTTGGTCCCCTACCCCAGCGGCTGGGTCTCAGGCTAGTCCTAGACCCCAGAAGAGGGCCTCTGGCCGGGCCGGGGGCGCGTCTCTCTCTCGCAACCACCCTCCCCCTACCCACCTTCATCTCTTTCCCAGCCGAGGGTGGGCTGGCAGTGTCTGCCTTCTATCCTGCAGACTGGCGAGATAGTTGCTCTCAAGAAGGTGGCCCTAAGGCGGTTGGAGGACGGCATCCCTAACCAGGCCCTGCGGGAGATTAAGGCTCTGCAGGAGATGGAGGACAATCAGTATGTGAGTAGGGGCATCGTATTCTCACTCTCCGTTGTTCGTTCCCAATTCCTCGTGCCTTCGTTTTTCCAGCTACGCCTTCACCGGCTTTCAGGGTTTTCCTCCCTCTGTTACTCGCACACACTGCTCATTCATCTGCCTCCTTAACCTTTTTTGCCCTTTTTTGTCCACTTGTTCACCTTCATTTACCTCATTCTTTCATTTCTCGCACATTCACTCTCATTTACCTAGTTATTTCTTAATGTGTTCATTCATTCGCCGACTTTTTTCTCAAAACATGTGGTGATTTGTAATGTAACTAGCACCTATTGAGCTCCCGATGTGTTCTGCAGGCATTATATACATTGTCATTTTGAGACCTCTTTACTACTGTACAAGGCAGGTTTCAGGATCTCTGTTTCTCAGGTGAGAGGAGGAGGTTATGTCAGTTATGTCACCAGCTCATGGGCCCTCCGTTAGTCAGTAGAGGGTTTGGCCCAGGTTTAATTTAGAGTCCAGACATTCTTCCCTTGGGACCTCCCGCAGGCTCTACCCTGTGTTGGGCACTGGTGATACAGAGGAACCAGCTCCAACCCAGCTCCTGAGGACTAAAATGTGTTAACAAGAGACAGAGGCAACAGGGCCCACCTAGTGTGGTTCATGCTGTGATAGGGTACCTGGAGGGGCTACTGGAACAGGAAGAGGGGCATCTTTAACCCCTAGCGTCATTACTCTTTGGTGCTCTCTCTCATCCATGTCGAAATAGAGAATGTATTTGACTCCCTGGAGAGTAACAGGGTTGGGTCTCTGTGATCCTCTGAGTTACCTGTGCTGTTCCCTGGAGATATTCATGATATATTGGATGACAAAAGCATGTTACAAAATTTTGTGTCATCTGAGTTTTGTTTGGAAATATATATGTGAATGTGTATTTGTGTGGGCCATATCTGTTGTAAAGTCTGGTAGAATACACTGTAAGATTGACTGCAGGATTTTTCTTTTGTTCTTTTTCTTCTTTCGGATTTTATGTCTTACCTGAATGTGTGCATGCGTTTTGATCTGTTAAATGGTTGTGTACTACCTGAAAAATCAGAAGACAGCAATCACCATTTTGACTTTTTGAGGAAGATAAAAGGGCTTCCAGACAGACATGTGTGGGATGGGTGGAGAGAGATTCATAAGGAAGCTGGTGATATGGTCCCTGCATCCAGTTGGTCAGCAATTCTGAAGGTTCTAACTTTAAAACATACTCTAGATTTGCTCCTTGCCCAAGTCGTCATCACCACTCATCAGAATGACAGCGGCAGCCTCCCCACTGCTCTCCGTAGCCACACTCCGGAGGGCTTTGTCAAAAGTGTAAGTCATCGGCTCCCCTGCATAAAGAGCCCTGGTGGCTTCTCTTCACACTTAGAGCACTATCACCATGTGCCCACCTCCAGCTGGCCTCTCCCTTTTCTCTCATTCAACACAGCTTCTTAGGCATCGCTCCAGTGACCAGCACCTACCTAGGGTCCAGGAGCACAGAACAGGGCAGACACATCCTTCCCTTAAACGACCTCATGTTCTCACATCCCTCTAGCCTCCTTCTGTGCTGGCGTTAGGGCCTTGCACTTGCTTTTCCTCCTGCTCAGAGCTTCACCCCAGATGCCCAAAAACTGGGTCTTCATCTAGCCCCACCCACCTAAATAAAGAAGTATCCTTTTCTCCACTCACAGAGTCACACTATCCTCTTATATTTCTGTTGATTTTTTTTTGGATACAGGGTCTCACTCTGTCACCCAGGCTGGAGGGTAGAAGTGTGATTTTGGCTCCCTGTAGTCTCAACCTTCTGGGCTCAGGTGATCCTCCCACCTCAGCCTGCCAAGTAGCTAGGACTACAGGCATGTGCCACCACGCCTGGCTAATTTTTTGTAGAGACAAGGTTTCACCACGTTGCCCAGGCTGGTCTCAAACACCTCGGTTCAAGCCATCTGCCTACCTTGGCCTCCCAAAGTGCTGGGATTACAGGCATGAGATGGCACGCTCGGCCCCCTTGTATTTTGGTTCCTGTACTTACAGAATCTGAATATATCCCATTTGTTCATTTATTTCTTAAATTGTCCTCTGCGCTGTGAGCTCATTAAGAGTCCTGTCTTTCAGCTCACTGCTCTGTGTAGCCTGGCTCCTCTGACAGTGGTGGCCTCAGTGTTTGTGATGTGTCTGTAGCTGTCCCAGCACTGGGAAAGGTGGGATTCCTGGTGTCCTTTCCTTGGTGCTGGGATTCAATGGCTCTAGAGGAAACAGGAGGAGACCTGTGTGACCATTTCATGTGCGACCATCCAGATGATTTTCAGGCAGGTGGGCTGGGTGGGCGGACCAGATGGTGCCACTAAATGACCTTTTTTAGACCTTTTCTTTTAGTGTTCATGGAGAATTAGAGTGGGGGCCCACCTTATCTCAGGAGAGCAGAGCAAATCATGAGCACGGAGCTCTGATTCTTAGCTCAGGTCCATGTCACCTTCTTCGCTTTCTTTTTGGATACAGGGTCCTCTGTCAGGGCATGGGCTGGGGTCTCAGGGTCACAGAGAGGGTCTGGTGACTTGCGTCTGGGGGCTAACAGGATGTCCTGCCCACAGGTGGTGCAGCTGAAGGCTGTGTTCCCACACGGTGCAGGCTTTGTGCTGGCCTTTGAGTTCATGCTGTCAGACCTGGCCGAGGTGGTGCGCCATGCCCAGAGGCCACTAGCCCAGGCACAGGTCAAGAGCTACCTGCAGATGCTGCTCAAGGGCGTCGCCTTCTGCCATGCCAACAACATTGTGCATCGGGTCAGTCTCAGCATAGGCCGGACATGGGGTCTGGGGAGCTGACTCGGCTTGGGGATGGGGCTAGCCCTTGTAAATAGTGTGATAAGAAGTTGGGACAGAGCTGGTCAAGGCCTCCAGGTAAGCGGCCAGGGCATGGCCCTGGAGGAGGCGGGGACCAGGGCTGACCTGGGTGGTTAGACTGCCAAGCCCACCTGTCCCAAGGTCCTATGGGGGATTTGGAGGGACTGATGCTTCTTTTGGTACTCCCAGGACCTGAAACCTGCCAACCTGCTCATCAGCGCCTCAGGCCAGCTCAAGATAGCGGACTTTGGCCTGGCCCGAGTCTTTTCCCCAGACGGCAGCCGCCTCTATACACACCAGGTGGCCACCAGGTAGGGAGGGCCAGATCCCTTCCAGTCCTCTCCATGGGGAAGAGATGCTTCTGGGCCTTTTCTCCAGACATTGCTCATGGGGCTGGGGTCACCTCCCCAGGCATCCTTTTCTCAGCCCAGTGCCTACCAGCCCTCTTCCTTGCAGGTGGTACCGAGCCCCTGAGCTCCTGTATGGTGCCCGCCAGTATGACCAGGGCGTCGATCTGTGGTGAGACCCCCGTGGGTGGTCAAAGGGTAACATGGCTCATGGATTTCTGCTAGGCTCTGAGGTCTCTGAGCTGTTTGGTGGTCTTTTCCCTGGTGGGAGTTTAGGCTCCTTTAAGGGTGTTTTCCCCATTGGGGTATTCTGAGCACTTTGGGGTTGGGGTTCCTCACTATGATGATTTCGAGCTGGGTGGGGGCCAGGTGGGATGAGAATGGTGGCCCCAGGTGGGAAGCTTTCTGGGCTAGGTGGGGAGGTGGTCTGAGCTGGTCAGAGGCCCGTGTCCTTGGACATGAAAGCTCTGAGCTTTTTTTGCAGGAAGAAGATAGTTGGCAATGCCCATGGTTCTGAGATTTGGGGCAGGTTTGCAGGTCTGACCCAGAAGTGTCCTAGAGCAGGAGTCTCTGAGAAGTCTTGGAACAGCTGGGGCTTTGCTCTGGGTTATAGGGTTGAGGGCTTTGAGGGTTCAGGGACTGGGCCTCTGGATGTGAGGCTCCAGGGCTGGCTTGTGGGGCCTTGCCCTGGAGTGCAGTGTTAGAGCTGCTCTGTGGGTGGGTCTGTGGTCCATGGTGGGAGATCTCTGAGCTGCTTGGGGCTCTGTGTTCACAGGGCCGTTGGCTGCATCATGGGGGAGCTGTTGAATGGGTCCCCCCTTTTCCCGGGCGAGAACGACATTGAACAGCTTTGCTATGTGCTTCGCATCTTGGGCACACCAAACCCTCAAGTCTGGCCGGTTTGTAGGGGCCCTTGGTGAGGTGGGTGTGGGGCAGGTTTACTCCACTCCCAACAGCAAGTAACCACTCCCTCCCCTGAACCTTCTCTCTCCTGGCCCCAACCCCCCTTGATGGACAGGCACCACTGTCCCGGCCCAACTCAGGGGTTCCTCCTCCTGCTGTCATGCAGGTTGGGGTAGGTCCTGTCCTTTGTCCCTTTCACCCCAGTACACACATGTGCAGTGTCTTAGCAAGCTGTGCACAGAGCTGTCATCTGAGAGGGCAAGGGGATGGATGAAGGAATATAGGGGTGGGTGAGTGAGTGAATGATGGGTCGGGGAAACACACGGGTGGGAGAGCACCCCCCATGTGAGAGTGTGTTAGGGGTTGAGAGCTAACAACAGAGAGCATGGCAAGGGTCGGGGACTACTCTCATTATACCCTGTTCCTTCTCCCTGGCCCAGGAGCTCACTGAGCTGCCGGACTACAACAAGATCTCCTTTAAGGAGCAGGCGCCCGTGCCCCTGGAGGAGGTACTGCCCGACGCCTCTCCCCAGGCATTGGATCTGCTGGGTCAGTTCCTCCTCTACCCTCCTCGCCAGCGCATCGCAGCTTCCAAGGTAGGGCCAGAGGCCATGGTCTCTGCTCCTTCAGCTCCCCTCCCCATTGCCCTGGTACTTTGTACTTGGTAGCCACATGACCCCATCAAGTCAGTGACCCTCAGAACCTGTGATGGGTGTGGACCAGCACCAGGCATCTGGAACCCAGGGGACAGGGGCCTTGGAGCAGGTGTGCCTCTCATGAGTAGACCTCACTGGACATCCCCAGACTTTCCCTGAGGGTGGCCCACAAGAGGGGCATGCCCAACTCACAGGAGAGCGCACGTCCAGGGGGCTGGCTTCTGGGCTGCCCCGACCCTGTGGCAGATACAGTAAGAGAGTCACTGGGGACTCATTCCTTTATTCCATTAGCAAGTATTTTCTGCACATCTGGCACGTGCAGGGATTGTCCTGGGCCCCACCCAGAGGGTAAACAATCAGACCTGCCTCCACAGGGTACTTCTGGTGGTGAGGTAGCTCCAGGCCCAAATGGTCACAAGAGGTCATGTTCTCCAGGTGTGGGAGCCCCAGGAGAGAGGCGAGGCCGACTGTGGGCTCAAGCAAAGCTTCCTGGTGGAGGGCAGGTTTAAGCACGAGATGTTTGAGGTGGTGTTCGCTGAAGGGAGAAATGGTGTGCAGCGGCCTGGAGGAGAGGACCCAGGAAGGCTGGTTATGGCTGGAAGGCCTGGGAGGACGATGAGGACCATAGGAGCATGGGCTGACACGTGTCAGGGTGTCTCTCTCAGGGGTCCCTGTCCCCTCCCTGCACTCAGCACCAGCAGCATGTGTTCACATACACCCTCTCGGTCTCCAGTGTCAGCAGCTCCTGTGGGCTCTGTGTCCACAGTGTACCCAAGCCATGTGACCCTTATCTCTTGGATTACCTCCCAGAATCTGGGTCTCCCCTCATCCCATGTAATCGCTTCTCCACCTGGCAGAGAGAGTAACTTTATCCAAGTAGAATAGGACACATTCCTTCTCTGCCAGGGCCCTCCTGTGGCTCCATCTCAGAGGAAAAGCCAGGGTCCTTTCTGTGGCCCACAGATGTCATATGCTTGGGTGCCGTCGCCTTATGACGCTGCCTGCTCTTGTGCCATGTGCTCACTCCTTTCCAGCCCCAGGGGTCTGTACACTTTTGTCCCTGCCCTGGAGCCTCATGTCCCTTTTGCTTATGTCTCAAGTCTTGGCTTAAATGTCACCTCTCAGAGCGCCTTCCCTCATGACTCTTCAGATCTGCAGCCTCTCTCCAGGATTCCTCATTCCTCTGTCTTGCTTTCTCTTTTCCACTGCACTAATCATTATCTGACATATTGTGTATTTTACTTCATCTTGTTTATTACCCCCCACCCCCACCTATGTCAGAAAAACAGAGCTTTTGTCTGTTTTATTAACGGCTATGTCCCCAGCTTCTGGAACAGTGCTTCAGACATAGTAGATGCTCAGAAAACACCCAGACACACTGAGTCAGCTGAATGCATAGATGAAGGAACATCTGCCTGAGGTGGGGACAGGGAGGTGACTAGTTTCCTTCTGCTTGTTCTTTACTTGCCACCCTCAGGCTCTCCTCCATCAGTACTTCTTCACAGCTCCCCTGCCTGCCCATCCATCTGAGCTGCCGATTCCTCAACGTCTAGGGGGACCTGCCCCCAAGGCCCATCCAGGGCCCCCCCACATCCATGACTTCCACGTGGACCGGCCTCTTGAGGAGTCGCTGTTGAACCCAGAGCTGATCCGGCCTTTCATCCCGGAGGGGTGAGAAGTTGGCCCTGATCCTGTCTGCCTGCTCCTCAGGACCACTCAGTCCACCTGTTCCTCTGCCACCTGCCTGGTTCCATCCTCCAAGGCCTCCCCATGCCCACACTGGGCCCACACCACACCCTGCCCCTTAGCCCTTGTGAGAGTTGGTTTCAAAGCAGAGGTCATGTTCCCAGCCAAGAGCATGAGAACATCCAGCTGAGCAGAGGAGATTGACGGCCTGTGCTTGGTGAGCCTTAACTTCTGTGTGCTCATCAGAACACATCAGAACAGTGAGCTCTGCTGCCAGTCAAGGCCTGCCTATGCAGAATGGCACTGCCTGCCTTGGTGCTGCTTCCCCGAGTGCTGCCTCCTGGTCAAGGAGAAGTGCAGAGAGTTAAGGTGTCCTTATGTTGGAAACTCAAGTGGAAGGAAGATTTGGTTTGGTTTTATTCTCAAAGCCATTAAACACTAGTTCAGTATGTGAGATTATAGATTCTAAAAACCTCAGGTGGCTCTGCCTTACATCTGTTCCTCCATTTCTCTCAAGGGAAATGGCTAAGGCGGCACTGTCTCATGGCCCTCGTTTTTGGGGGTCATGGGGAAGGTAGCACCAGACATAGCCACTTTTGCCCTGAGGGCCTCCTGTGTGCTTCACATGACTGAGCACTCATTTGCAAGTGAGGGAGACAGGAGTCTAGGCCCAGGGATGGCTCCAGTTGGGGATCCAGCAGGAGAGCCTCCGCACATGAGGCTGGTTTAACAACATCTACTCCCTCAGGATGAGTGTGAGCCACAAGCAGCTGTGTATATAAGGAAACAAGCGTTCCTGGAATTAATTTATAAATTTAATAAATCCCAATATAATCCCAGCCAGTGTTTTTTCCTTATAATAATTTGATAAGGCGATTATAAAAAACACATAGAAGGAAGTGGAACCAGATGCATAAGAGGAAATGATGGAAGGACTTACGGTATCAGATACCAATATTTAAAAGTTTATATAATAATAAAGAGTATGATTGTGGTTCAAGGATAAAAACAGACTAGAGAAACTTATTCTTAGCCATCATTTATTTTTATTTTTATTTATTTTTTGATGGAGCCTTGCTCTGTCGCCCAGGCTGGAGTGCATGGCGCGACCTCGGCTCACTGCAATCTCCGCCTCCTGGGTACAAGTGATTTTCCTGCCTCAGCCTCCTGAGTAGCTGAGACTACAGGTGGGTGCCACCACACCTGGCTAATTTTTGTATTTTTACTAGAGACAGGGTTTCACTGTGTTAGCCAGGATGGTCTTGATCTCCTGACCTCGTGATCTGCCCACCTGGGCCTCCCAAAGTGCTGAGATTATAGGCGTGAGCCACCATGCCCAGCACCAGTCATCCTTTATTTTAAAAATGTGTATTTTATGCTTCATGTGGATAAACTCTTCTGTGAGCACTGAGGGTCACTAACACTGCTACAGATGCTGGCCATCAAGCACAGTGGCGAGAGAAAACATACTCAGCCCTTGTTCTTGGCTTTCAGTAAAGTCTGATGTTTTCATGATATGGCCTATTTTTATTTCTCCAGCCACATCTTTGGCAGACTGTAAGCTTCTAAGAGAACTTCAAAGAGAACTCTAAAATGTATATAACATTTGCAATTAAAAGGATAAAAAATGATTTACTATGCATACAGAAACCGAAAATGTGGTGTAGTTATTTGATACCAAATAATAGAGGCCAGGCGCAGTGGCTCATGCCTGTAATCCCAACACTTTGGGAGGCCGAGGTGGGCAGATCACCCGAGGTTGGGAGTTCAAGACCACCCTGGCCAACATGGTGAAATCCCATCTCTACTAAAAATACAAATATTAGCTGGGTGTGGTGGTGCATGCCTGTAATCCCAGCTACTTGGGAGACTGAGGCAGGAGAATCGCTTAAACCTGGGAGACAGAGGTTGCAGTGAGCCGAGATCGTGCGAGTGAGACTCTCGTCTCAAAAAAAAAAAAAAAAGATTTTAAGGCAAAGAGCTGTTATTTAGTATAAGATACAATTTCAAGGCAAAAATCATTACTAGTGGTAAACACATTCAGTTCTAATTATATTCAGTTCATTGGTAAAATTTTCCAAATTTGTATGTACCTAATAATATAGTCTCAAATATTATCAATATTAGAAATGAATAGGATTCAAAAGACTAAGGCTATTAGAAGTAACTTTATACATGCGAAATTTTGGTAAAATTGACAAATCCATAGAAAAATTCAACTTGCAATAATCAAAAACCCCTGAAGTGTCTTAAAACTGTTAAAAAGGAATTGAACCTCCAAATTAAAATATTTTCATTATGTAATCTCCAGGCCCAGATAGCTTCACTACTAAATTCTACCAATCACTTAATAAAGTGTCACGATTCCAGAGAATACAGGAGTAAGCCTACTCAGCTTATTTTGTGACACCAGCAATAGTCTTGATACTAAAATTCAACAAGGACATTGGAAAAATGAAAATTATATAATTATTCTTGTGTTTCAAAAATAAAGGAAAAATCAGCTGGGTGTGATGGCTTATGCCTGTAATCTCAACACTTTGGGAGGCTGAGGTGGGAGGATTGCTTAAGTTCAGGAGTTTGAGACTAGCCTCGGCCAATGTGGCAAGACATCGTCTCCACAAAAAAAAATTAGCCAGGTGTGGTGGCATGCGCCTGTAGTGCCAGCTACATGAGAGGCTGAGGTAGGAGGATCGCTTAAGGCAGCAGTGAGCCGTGATCACGCCACTGCACTCAGCCTGGGTGACAAAGAGTGAGACCACGCCTCCCCATAAGCGTAGCCCCCACACAACAGGAGTGTGGTCCTCCCTGACCCTTGCCTGGCCAGGCTCTTCCCAAGGCTGAGGCCCCTAGTGGCATAAGGGTCTCCAAAGAGCCTGGGGCCACAGACTTTTCTCTGGGGGCCACAGGAGCTCAGGGTCTGGCCAGCCTGTCCCCAGCCCAGGGCAGACCATCAGTTGTTTGGTGGTTACTGCAATGGGATTCAGTCTCAAACCTCCCCAGAGACCCTGATGTCAGGGCCCCTGGATCCCACAGTACTGCTTTGGGCAGGAATGCTGGGCCCCCATCCCTTCAACATCTGTCCTGGCTACCTCCAAGGCCATGGGCAGACTGGCCTTGCAACCCCATTGGGGCCCATCATCAACCTGTGCCCAGCCTTCTGAAGACCCACAGGAAGAGCTCAAGACACCTCCCTTCACAGTGGCCTGTGTCCTATCCCTGTCAGTTTCACTGACCTGCATGGTCTGGAAGGAGCTAGGACAGCAGCCTGCCCTGCAAGCTGCCTGGAAGCCCGGGATGGCCCCTCAGCCAGCTGGAACCACCGTCCACTGGGAAGATGGCTACTTGGAGGCCTCTGGAGGGAAGGGGGTGTGTGGCATCCTCATAGCTCTGGCCAGCCAGCAGGATGTCTTGTGTCCTCATGCTGACCTCCTGTGGGATAGAGCCCCCTAACACGGCACAAGGTCCAACCCCAGAAGCATCTGATCTGGCCTCAACCCGAGCCTGGGGCCCCCAGCAGCCAAGGTGATCACCAAAGGGACTGAGCCACTTGTGGCTCTGACCAGTACTGGAATCTAGCCCAAGGCAGGGCGAGCCCTCTCGGAGCAGTGCATGGCTACTTGGGACCTGTGCAAACCCCAAAAGACCAGGTCGGTGACCTTAGGGGGCCCGAATAGCAACCAGTCACCTTGGCAATGAGGCTGCAGGAGTAGGCATACAAGGAGGCAGGGATGGCCAGGCTCCAGGACCTGAGTGGTCACCTGGTCACCCATGAGAAAGAGCCCTGAGGCCAAGTGTGGTGCTGGGCCCTCCTGCTCCAGGTGGTAGGACTGGAGGAAACTGGGCAGGCCTGGGTCCAGGAGACTGGGTCCCTCTATCTGCCATCCTTGGCAGGTCATGGTCCCCAAAACTCATGAAATGTGGCCTTACTCAAAGCAAGGAGGCTCCAAGGTGGGGACCAGAGTCCTCAGTCTGGGTTCACCATTCAAAGCTTCCCTCCCGGGGACAAGGGATGCTCCCTTGGCCTCATGCCCACCCACACCCCCACATATTGGTTAAAAGACGATAAATTGTTTATCATTATGACTCACCTGTTCTTGGGGCACCCAGAGTTGTCTGCAAGAAGCATCAGACACCCTGGAGCAGGTGGGAGAAGATGGTGGCACAGCCCATGCTGCCCAACCCGCCTCCCCCTTGCAAAGGCTATAGTAGGGCCTGGGGTCATACGGAGCCAAGGTTCCCATACACTTCGTGTAAGGCCATCAGGAGGCCTCAGGAAATCTGAGTGGGGAGGTCAAAATTCTCTGATTGCCCACTCAAATGTCCTAATCCCACATCTCAGGGTCTTATTCTTTCCCTATCTGGGCCTGACTTCAAAATTGCCATCGACCACAAGGCTGCTTCCCTCCCGCAAGCCAAACAAACCACCTACAAGCATGCTTCTGCCACGATGAACAAAAGAGGTTATACTAGAACCTAAGGGACAAGGGGGTCCCAAATTGGATGATCTCTGGGAAACCCGTGGGGCAGTTACAGTTCTTACTAGGGTCAGATTATGGTATCTCCTTCAAGCCATCCCCGCCTTCTGTGCCTGCCCCTGATCTCCACTAGTTGCAGGTACCCGCCCTACACAGGGATCTGGTGATCATGGAATCAGGTTCCCCTGAAAGACAATCACCCTTTTCCATTAACTGTGGTTTGGGCTCCAAAAAATAACCACCACAGCCTGGCTCTGTTGGATGTGGATGCTCAAATCTCCCTAATCCCAGGAAGCACTCATGCTTTCAAGGGACCCTTCAAGGACGTGACAGGCTTGGAAGGAAGATTAATAAGCCCCTTAACTATTAAAGTTAGTCTCTAGGGCCAGGCATGGTGGCTGACGCCTGTAATCCCAACACTTTGGGAGGCCGAGGTGGGTGAATCACCTGAGGTCAGGAGTTTGAGGCCAGCCTGGCCAACGTGGCAAAACCTTGTCTCTACTAAAAATATAAAAATTAGCCAGGCGTGGTGGTGTGTGCCTGTAATCCCAGCTACTCGGAAGGCTGAGGCAGGAGAATTGCTTGAACCCGGGAGGCAGAGGTTGCAGTGAGCTGAAGTTGTGCCACTGCCCTCCAGTCTGGGCGACAGAGCAAGACTCTGTCTCTAAATAAATAAATAAAGTTAGTTCCATTTTGCTAAAAAATACTTCTGTTCTTGTTCCCATTATTGAGTGGACCTCTTCAGTCAGCAGCAACAAGCCTAAGGCTTTTACACTGTTGGTGGGTGGGTTCCCTGTGGGAACCGGTTAGCCTTCCTCTATGCAGTTGAGGTGGTAGATACATCACTGTGCTGGCTAAGACAAGACACTGAAGGGTGCCAGCCTGTCAGGACTGACTAGGGTAAGAAGAAGTGCTGATTCCTACCATCTCACCTTTCAGTTCCTTTAAGCCTGTGCTTAAAGCTGTTATTGATGACTGGACTTACTATAGACTATACAAAGCTACACAATGCTGTTCTCTTCATTAGAGCATCTCTACCAGATATTGTCACCTTAATGGATGATATTCAAAACAACATGGGTAAATGGTTTAGAGTTACTGCACAGAATTGGCTAACATGTTTTATTCACTAAAACTTTTTCATGACAGCAAACCACAATCTGACTTAACCTTTGAGAGTCAACAGCACAGCTTCACCTGACTGCCTGCACTGCAGTGAAAGGCCTTTACTTACACCCGGACTTTGCTAAGAGGACCTAGATGCTTGCCCCACACTTCCCCCAAGAAACTTAGCTTTGGCATCATATCAGTGACATCCTCGTCACTGGTCCTGACCAAGACTTTGTTTCACAGGTCATCACAGCTGTGAGCAAGCACCCCACTGACAGGGGATGGACAGTTGCCCCACATAAGGTACAAGACCCCTCCTGACCTGTTAAAGTGTTGGGCTACACCTAGAACTCAGAGAGGTAAACTATTGCCAATTTGGCAAAAGACAATCTCCTGGAAGCTCTCTAACCGCCTACATCAGTAAAGGGATTCAATCAACAATGGGATTCTGGCACCAATACATCCCTTCCTCCCATATTTCTTCGTATCCAGTCACCCACAACTTTTCTGCTTTTTAGTTATCAAAACTGAAGCCCTTACTAGGGCAGAGCCAATTTACCCTATGAACCGAGATTCCTGTTATGCCCTGGGTAATGGAAAAAGCTCACTATAAAATTGGATCAGCAACAGAAACCTCCTTACTACAGTGGAAATGGTATTTACAGAATCCACTCACATTTAGTCCTACTGGAGTGTCACATTCCATGAGAAAATAGCCACATACCCTGCCACTGAGGTCAACTTGCCAAAACACTGAAAATGCCTCTGCCTCCTGCTCAGTGGGGAGTGGAGGGAGGATGGTCAGCAATCTCAAAACAAGAAAACCAATAGCCTCTCATTACTGATGAGTCAGCACGGGGCATAAGGAACTCAGACCAAGGACAGCTACACCCTTTAACCCCATTCAGACACTCATTCCATATGTGCACTACTCCTAGCAATAGATACGCCATTTTCCCAAGGTTTATATCTTCACAAACTCCTGGTTAATGGCTAATGAGCTAACTACTTGGTTGGGACTTTGGCAATATCAGAGCTGGAAAATACAAGGCCAAGATATTCAGGGTAAAAAGATGTAGGGAAAATAATCATTATGAGACAGTACAGGAAAGAGACTTGGTCTTTGTAGACTGAGGCTCACGGGGCTCACATGTCCGGGCATATTACCTCCCCTACCTTCTTGCCTCCTTAACAAGCTGACCCAAGTCACACAGCAGAAGGGAAGCCTCTCCTAACTTAGCTGGTCAGGCTGAATTCTTAACCATAAATAGAAGAAACTGACTGTCACCTTAAGTGATGTCTCCCAGGGTTGCTAAAAGCTGGACTGTAGCATTCCTGATAAGAACCTGACCATATTCCAAGGTTACTAAAACAAAACTCTGGCATTCTCTATGAGAACTGAACCAGATCCAGTTGGCTGAAGACAAGATGGACTCCAGCACTGACCTTTCACTGAGTTTTCCTCATAATCTCAATGTAATATGAAAATCTCTGCCCACACTGGGGCTTATCTGCCATTTTCTAATTATGCAGTGTATGTTAGGGCATGATGCCCCACTGTACAGGCACAAAGAAAACTTTGCCTAAACAGGCTTCTGACGGAGCAGGAGCATCACCATCTTGGACAAGCACCACCATTTAAAAATTCCCCTTGTTCAGAAACCGCCTAAATCCAAAGGGCATCAGCTAAGGTCAGCATGACCATAAACCACAAATGACATCTCCAACCAGAAACATTCCAACCCCTAAGATAAACCCCTCCCCAACCAGAGACAAGCCAGCCCCGAGATAACCTCCTCCACGACCAGAGACATTCCAAACCCACAATAAACTTCTCCACACAGAAACATTCCAAGCCTGTGATAAGCTCTCTTGCCCCCAAACACTTAAATCCTCTTAGTCTGTAAGAGAGAGTGCTCCTGACTGAAATCGGCCAGAAGTCCCTCTCATGTTCGTTCTCCAAAATAAACCTGCCTTTGACTGCTGAGCCACTTTTTGTGTTTCTTTCCTCTTTTTTTTTTTTAACTCCTACAGCTTCTACGTCATTCCTTTCTCTGCCTCACCTTCCTTAAAATGACAAGAGCTGAGCCTTTTTGGCTGTAGCACTGGAGTCCTTTTCCTGGGCACTGCTCCCTTGCTTTGATTGAGCTCAAGACCATTAAACCTTGCCTGAGAAAAATTACGGTTTGGCCTGGTGTTAATTCATATTTACTCAGGAGCCAAGATGCTGCACTAACACTTACACTGGCTCCCATTCTGCCTACCTTGGTGCACCGTACCTTGGCTCATACCAGACAAGACATGGAAGAGGCATGACACAACACCAAAGTTGATGAACTAACCATAGCATAACGGCAGGTAAGCCTCTTGAAGGAGGCAGAGTCCTAGAGTTTTGGGATGAGCTACCCTTCCCCTCTTCCAGTGGGCATGCAAGAGGAGAGGTCAGGGCATTTGGGCATCATGGGGTTCCAAAAAGGAATTATTATTTTTTATTTGTCTTTGAGATGGAGTCTTGTAGTGTCGCCAGGCTGAACTGCAGTGGTGCAATATGGGCTCACTGCAACATCTGCCTCCTGGGTTCAAGCAATTCTTGTGCCTCAGCCTGCCAAGTAGCTGGGACTACAGGCACGTGCCACCACTCCTGGCTAATTTTAGTAGTTTTAGTAGAGACGAGGTTTTCACCATGTTGGCCAGGCTGGTCTCAAACTGCTGACCTCAAGTGATCCACCTGCCTCTGCCTCCCAAAGTGCTGGGATTACAGGCGTAAGCCACCGCACCTGGTCAAAAGGAATTATTAACAGAGGAGTCAACGCAGCAGAAAGACATTGATGCAAGATTATTAGGGACTGTACCTTGCTAGAAATTTAGATACTGGGCCCACTGCCTGGGAGGAGAAATTCACAGGAAAGCCATTATCAGAACTGGCAAATCAACTTCAAACGGCCTCCCCCTACAGTGACAGGAGCCAATGAATATGCTAATGGTTATCTACACAGGCCATCCATTTGCTTACCCATGTGAGGCAGGAACCTCTGCTAATGTTACAATGGTTAACAAAACAGCTTTTACAACCTTTGGGTGTGCCACAAGTTACACAGTCAGATCAAGACTTTCCTTGTACTACAAAGCAAATGCAACAATGGGTATTACAAAGTAACATAACAAAATAACAGTAGTGGGTATCACAGAAAGATAAAATGAGCTTTTAAAACAGGGGCTACTGAAACAATGTAGATGACAATGGTGACCTGAGTCATCAAAATGCTGCCTCTAGCCAGAGATGGTGGCTCACGCCTGTAATACCAGCGCTTTGGGAGGCCAAGGTGGGTGGATTGCTTGAGCTCATGAGTTTGAGACCAGCTTGGGCAACATGGTGAAACCTCATCTCTACTAAATATACAAAAATTAGGCATGGTGGCATGAGTCCTAGTTACTCAGGAGGCTTAGATGGGAGGATGGCTTCAGCCTAAGAGGCAGAGGTTGCAGTGACCTGAGATTGCACCACTGCACTCCAGCCTGGGTGACAGAGTGCAATCTTGTCTCAAAAAGCAAAAACAAACAAAAAAACCCAAGATGCTGTCCCAAGTCCTAATTACATTGCATGAACTCTGTACCCCCTAGGGCATAACTACACAATATTTAAATTCACAACAAATGAGGGATCACATTTAAATTTGCATCAACAGACAGGCTGCGACCTCTGCCCATGACCACACTGGCCACAACATAATTACAGTTTTCAGGGACACAGAAGCACTGATAGGGCTGCACACAGCCAAGAAACCCCTCGACACTTTTACCTTCCCCTTCTCCCTCATAGAAAATCCACAGCCTAACCACATCCCCCTTGATCCTGCTGCCCACATACGTATAATACATATGTGTGTGTATACACATGTATATATGTATCTATTCATGATGTGTGTGTGTTTGTGTGTGTGTGTGTAAAGGAGAGGCTGGGCCAGGCATAGTGGCTCACGCCTGTAATCCCAGCACTTTGGGAGGCTGAGGTGGGCAGATCACGAGGTCAGGAGATTGAGACCACCCTGGCTAATGCAGTGAAACCCCGTCTCTACTAAAAATACAAAAAATTAGCCAGCCGTGGTGGCACGTGCCTGTAATCCCAGTTACTCGGGAGGCTGAGGCAGGAGAATCACTCGAACCCAGGAGGCAGAGGTGCCGTGAGCTGAGATTGTGCCACTGCACTCCAGCCTGGGCTACAAAGCAACACTCTGTCTCAAAAAAAAAAAAAAAAAAAGGCCACTAAGAATATTTTGTACTTGAATTACCAGTATCTTTAAACATCAGGGTGGTAGATATGTCATGGCTAAGTAGGAATATACAAGCCTCTAGTCACCTCGGTGTGTGCATTCTGATTGTTAGATTTTTTTTCTCTAGGATGCTGCAAACACATTTCAAAGTACAATCATGGAGTTATAGTATCAAATAACTTAAAATTGAAAGGGCCTGTGGACATTATCTAGTCTGACTCTCATATTATAGCCTCAGAAAAAAATGAATGCCCACGAATGGAAACGGATTTGCCTAGCGATCCTGGAAAGAGCTGGGAACAGAACTTGAGCCCAATACACAGTAATAAAAATATTAATGGAAACAACAGTCATCACAATAAGAGCTAGTACCATTTTAGGGGTGGCTGCAATATGCCCTATATATATGTTATCTTATTTAATCCTTAAAAACAATATTTTAATGTAGGTATTATTATCCTCATCTTGAATTTAAAAAAAGAGTTTTTAAGTCTAGGAACGTACAACTAATACATGGGAAAACTTACATTTAAATTGAGTTTTCTTGTAGATACAAAATTCCGTGTATTTCCCACTATTATTTTCACCTTAAACATTTATTATTTATTCATGCTATTAAAACTGTAGAAAATAATTGAAAATGATATCAATGAGAAGAGAACAGGATTAAGGCAAATATAATATGTATTTCATGATCAGTATCTGAAAGATCTCTAAAATAGCTAAGCTTTATTCTTGCCTCAAGGAGAATCTGTAAGAAAGTAACGCGTGCACCGCATATTAACGCCTCAAGTTGTAAAGGAATAGAATCAGCTGGGAAAAAAATCAGTGCATTGTTCTCTCTTTTGTAGGAGGTTTTGTTGATTATTTCAGAGACGGTCCATTTGTGTCCTCAATTATCTAGTCTTTGTTTCTGTTTTGGCTTGTCCCAGTAGCTGCTTCTACTGCTTTCTTGGGTCACAGAGAGATACAGGAGACCCAGGTGTATTCTGGCTGTACTGGACGTTTTAGATGAACTCCTTCCCTATGGTGGCACAGCATCAGTCACCAGAACGGTTTTTGAGGAAAATAGCCAGTTGTCTTGTGAAGCTTTACCAAAAATTTCTTCAGGGCTGCTTTTTCTCTATCAATCTCCCTGATCCGGATATCTAAAGCCTTCTGGAGGCTTTGGATCTGAATCCTGGCTCTCCTTTCCTCTCCAAGGTTGTTCATGAGGGCCCTCCGCATGATTAGGGGATCTCCTCCTTTGAAGGTGCTCTTGTTCGTGACGAAGCCCATGCCACCTATGTTCACACTTTGGTGGAGGATGTTCAAGACAGGACAGTGAGGCTGCCTGTAAATGTCTCTGGAAAATGATTCTCCTGTGGTTTGGAATATTAGAACCACAGCACCGTGGGAACAGAATCTTGGAGCTGAGTGGCATCAGAGATCCTCGTAGCCCAAAACCCTTACATTTACTAATCAGAAGAAGGTTTTAAGCTTGCAGATGTTCTTAGTGTAAAAATATAGATGAGTGCACTGACAGACCAGATGGCCATAAGGATGCTTACTGCCATCCCAGGCTTCTACTTAGGCTGAAAGGTAAGTGCCTTTGGGTCCTCATAAATCAGGACCAGAATGTTTATGGAGAGAAAAAATTAGAAAGTTGATTCAATAATTTTGTTTAGTTTTAGATGCAATTCTTTATTCCTTTAAGAGTATGCACACTTGAAGTTGCTAAATAATTAAGATTGTGCCATTTGTCTAGGTTTAGGGTTAAACTTAAATTAGATAACTTTTTCATGAGGTATTTAGTTTTCATATAAGAAAGAACAGGAAACAGAAAAATATACATGTTATCTATTCTTTTGCTCAAAAAGGAAACAAGAAATCTAAATGAAAAACCAGTGAGATTAGAGAGACAGGAAGAGGCAAGGTAGATAGGATGGGGGAATGGGAGTAGAAAAGGAGGAACAGGAAGAGGGATACCTTTTTGAGTGTACCCTTTACCTGTTCTTATATTCAGAAACATGCTAATTTTTCACGTGCTCAAAAATAATTAAACAAGGAGTGGGAGGGATGCTACCCTAAACTACTTTATGTGTATTCTAAGATTGTGCAAAGAAGTAAATACAATATGGATAATGAGGGCCAGGTTCTCTCTGTTGGAGAAGGAGCTATAAATAAGAAAGGAAGAAGGTTAAACTATACCTGTGGTGTTGAATTGGAATTGAAGACATCAGTATAAATTTATGATTCTACGAATCAATATGAATCTGTAGTTACGTGAATCCATTATTACATGAACCAGTAGGAATGAATGGTTCTATGAATCAGTCTGAATTCTGGTGAAGAATGGCCCACTAAACCTTCTGGCCTGCAAAGGTACCTTAGAGACTTGGGACTTTGTGAGTCTTCCTCACATAAAATGAGCCCCATTTATTCCCAGCTTCAAAATTGTTTCTGAAAAATGCAGAAGACAGGTTTTATGTCTTCTCTTTGGGTTTTATCTCTGACTTTCACCTAAGTCTTGATTATGTTATTTTATTCCTTTAAAATTCATCATGAGCAGACACATGTCAAATTCTTCCTGCTGTCTTTAATCAGGAGCAGAAAATCGGAGCAGTGTGTCCTTCATGTTTAGGAAGGGGCATTTGTCTTCTGACAGGATAATTTTACTAGTTTTCAACTTTCAACTATAGCCTTTGGAAAGCATTAAAAGACTAAGTAAAATATT